ACTCTCATACAAGAACCCTCACACATCCACCACACAACAGCAGCAACAATAACAACAACAACCACAAAACAAAACAACCCTCAAAATGCTCTTCACCACCATCCTTGCCTCCACCATCGCCCTGGGCATGGGCGTCTCCGCAGCGCCTACGCCCGTCGGCAACACGCGCTTGGTGCAGCTCCGGCTCTTCGGCGAATCCGGCTGCTCGGCCCTAAACCAGGGCGAGCTGGGCGTGTACGGCGACCGCATCAACCAGTGCCAGACCTTCCCCGGCCCTACCACCATCAAGTCCGTGAGCTTCGAGTACAAGTACCAGGCAAACTGTACCGGTAAGCTATTCCAGCCACGCTTTTCTTTTCCCCTTTAGTTTTCTTTTTTCGTACAGTGTACTAACCGAATCCCAGTGGCTGTTTACAATGACGTCACCTGCAGCGTCAATCGCCAGCAAGTCGAGGTGAAGACCTGTCTTTCCGGCGATGAGCAGTACGGCAGCTATATTGTCGAGTGTCCCTCCCTTGCCTAAACCAAGAAGCAAGGGATCTGGGACTTGCATGTTCTTTTTTTATCTTTTCTTATGTGAAATGTGACGCCAAGATGTGTGTGTGGACTCGGGATGGGCCGGGAGATGGGATACGATACGATTATTACTATTTGACATGATTTGATGTACAGCGATGTATAGTCTTATAATAACTTATATATAATAATGATGATGATTTATGGGATTGGCTTCGTTTTGGAATTCTTACGGTTATGTTAGAAATTATCCTATAGCGACTCCCGTATTCTTCTGAACGCATTTGGAGTTGACGGCCTTGACTACAATTTACAAGCTGAGGGGTCCCGGCGTGTTCAGCGGCTGGAGTCATCGGAGTTTATAGGGGAGTGAATAGACAGCCCATGCAGATGGCTTGAACTGTGAGAAATTCAGGTCTAGAGTACATTGATAGTACCACGTGGAAATAAAGTGGTCTGCGTGGTTAAGAAAAACAGGTTGGTTTGGTCCGCCATACAGCAGACTATATTTACAGGACGGTCATAGTAGATTGAGCCCTAGTCAGAGCTTTGGAGCAACGTATGTCTCTCAGTACTTGCACCGTATCCTATGTACACAAAAAAGGTAGAAAAATTAGTGCATCCTGACCAAAATATCGTCAGAGATGCCTATTTGCTATAGTTTCACAGGAACATCCTTACGGGCAGCACCCTCCTCCAACGCTGCATAAAGACTCTCTTCCAAATTAATAAGAAGGCTAGTGACAGCGGCATCTCCCGGTGGCATGACCTGCGTGAATAACGTAGCTGCGAGACCTGTTTGCCGATCGATCCACTATATAGTCAATCAAACATGGTTAACAAATTAATCCCAAGCTCAAGATGAAAAGTCTTTCTTGACTTAAACTTACCCAGTGCAAATTTGGTAGCCCACTCCAGTTGACCGTACCAGCTCGCCTCCGACCAGCAATATCCTTCAGGACGATTGTCCCAGCAAGAGAATGATCCGCCTGTTGGGTGTCGCCAACGTCTTGGATTGCCAACACCCGTCTCATCTGAGCTCCAAGAGGTCTCGGCATTGCTTCACGAGATGCATCGGTGAGCTGTGGCTGCAGTAGAATATCGACACTCTCTCGAGTGAGCAGTGGGTGTCCACCACCCAGAAGCGCCGATAGTAACTTGACAAAATCCATCGGCGTGCTGAAGAGCCCTATGCCCCCAAGATCATCCTGCGCTGGCTGTTTGAGGATGACAGGTCCCGACTTCAGAGATTTGACGCCCTGACCGACGCTCACGCGATATCCCATTCCCATTTGTGGTGGAAGCGTCTCGCGGTACAGTTCTGGGTGGAAGGTTGTCGACACGACGCCAAGCTTAGACCAGATATGCGTCCGCATATAATCCTCCAGAGTAGAATTTGTCACGCATTCAATCTACGGATGGTTAGTATCTGAGCGAATGAAAAAAGTGGGATATAGGAAGGCTTACCACTCGACCAGCCCAATCTAAGCCAGCCCCATATCCCCAAGAGGTGTCGGGCTCGAAAAGTAGCGGGTGATGGTAGCCAGCCTGTTGGGATAGATTACAGGTGTATTAGCTAGAGGTGCTATACACTGCTTCGGGTTACAGCGGTAAGAGGCACTTGCCATGCTGCCACAAAATGTGTATGCTGTTCGACCCTGGGATTTAGACCACTGTTGCAGCAGTGGCGATGAGCTGTCATACACGAAGCCGGCTGTATGACACATGAGACTTCTACATGGAATGTGTTAGATAAAGGGTCCCAACATAAGCCTGTACGGTCATTACCACTTCTCATAGTGGATGCTTACCGGAGAGTTATCTTTCCTTGAAGAGGCTTCAGATGTGGTTGGCTCAACTCTGGCGAGAGCCCCTTGTCTGCAGATTAGGAATATAATATCAGCGATTGAGTGTAAATGTTGGGTAATTCTATGTAGTAGAGTATACACACACACCGTTCCTCATATCTTCTAGAATTTGTATATCGCGGAGCTCGGGGACTATTGCCCGGACATCATCTTCAAGTGATACAATGCCTCGCTCCACAAGTTGCATCACAGCCACTGCGGTCACCAGCTTTGTCATGGAAGCAACCCAGTACAGAGAATCGATCTGCAAAGCAGGTGCCCTTTCATCATCAAGGTTCGCTTTGCCGGCAGCACGGCGATAGAGGACATTCCCTGTTAATATGCCGTCAGAATGGTCATATGTACAACGAAGGGCAGATCTAAAAGATGCAATCCGTAGTAAATCACAAGTAATACGGTACCTGAACTGTCAATTGCGATGAAAACGGCGCCATGCACTGACCCAGTCAAGGGGTCTGTGAACTGGTCTAGAATCTTGTCCACCTTGTTCATTGCTGTCTGGTTGCTTTGAACCTTCACACCAACGTAGATATTCAGATCCGAGCTTGACAACCATATGGGATAGCTCGATCTCTTTGTATGGTGGTTCTGAGAAGGGCGAAATATATTGTACTCCAGGATAGCCGAGGTTGCAAGCAACCATCGCTTTGAGTGGAGAGTAGGACCGAGGGTGTGGTGTGGGGTTAATCGGCAGAAAAGAGTATCTATACGAGGAACAGAATGATAACGCAAGTCAAGCGTATATTTGACGAGTCATAAGCAGATAAATACATTGCATGAGACTAGACTATCTAACCTCAGCTCTTCTCAATATGCGCTAGGAGATACACAACTTTTTTAAGATACGTAAAGGGCAACGAAACCAGAATTAACCCGTATCCGCATGAGTTCGAAAGAACCTGTAAACGGAGAAGCGAAAGAAAACAAAAACCGCATAATAGTCTATCGTGACTTCGACGAACGCCGCCCGTAAAGAGTTACAATGGATACCGAATGCGAGGGAAAGCAAGATCTACCGATGCGACATGGGAATACAAGCTCAATGACTGAACTGGGCATTTACGAGCAGTTTACCAACGGCGGTTGCCTCCAAGGGGAGCGGCATTGGAAGCAGTGTAGTTGCCGCCACGGCCACGACCACCACCACGGCCACCCCAGCGGCCATAGCCGCCACGGCCGCCGCCGCCGCCGCCACCGCTGTAGCGAACCATCTCGGCGAGACGGGGGTCAATCTGCTGCTTAGCCTCAGTAAGGATAGTGACCAAGTCACGAGCCTGCTTAGAGTCTGGTGCGAGATACGTTAGCATTGCCAGTCGTAGGAGAGGAGAGCCCGTCCGGGAACTTACTGTCAGTGGTGAAGAAAGTGATGGCGGTACCCTTGGCACCGGCACGACCAGTTCGACCAATACGGTGAACATAGTCTTCCGAGTTGTTGGGGTAGTCATAGTTCAGCACATGAGTAATGTCGCGAACATCTTCAAAACACAAACTTATGTTAGCAAACAGAGCATTAGTCAAAATAGCAAGGTGGCCTATGAGCCCTTTATCAGTCGTGTGAGACTTGATGCATCACTCTCTCTCGGACTTTTCAAATCAAGATCCGTTGCGGGTTAGGTCCCTGGGCTGGTGAAAATCGCGGTCCTAGAGTAACCTTGGAATGCAGCTTGATCATGTCGGAACAAGAAGAAACCCCGTCTCTCGACCATCGAGGTTCAGAGAAGAGATGGAGAATCAGAACAGAAGAAATAATACGTCTGCTACACTGCACTGTGAGTCCAAGGTCCTCCTGGCATGAGAACCAATTCAGGAGACCCGACAAAGCCTGGACGAGTCATATACGCCAACACATGTTGGAAGAGAGTTAAGCACCGTGCCATGGTCACACAACCTCAATACGGGTGAGGGTGCTTTCAAGGAAGGAAGGGGGAAGGGGGAGGGGAAGGGGGTAAATCGCAAGTTCATCATACCGATACCACGGGAAGCCACATCAGTAGCCACCATGATTGGGCTCTTGCCCGTCTTGAACTCGTTCAAGACCCAATCTCTTTCTTGTTGTTGCTTGTCACCGTGAATAGCTGTTCCAAGAGTTAGCCAAGTGTTCGATGGAAGTAGGTGGAAGACAAAACATACAAAGTGCTGGCCATCCGTCCTGACGAAGGAAGCGAGTGATTTCGTCGGCGATACGCTTAGTTCCAGTGAAAATGAGGCACTTGTTGCCGCGGTTCTCCATAATCTTCTCAAGGTGCTTGATCATCTTATCGCGCTTCTCAAAGTCTGACACGACCTCGACGATTTGCGTGATACGGTGGTTAGCGGACAAGTCCATGGAACCGATGTTGACTTGGATGTAATCATTGAGGAAATCCGAAGCAAGCTGACGAACTTCCTTGGGCCATGTGGCGGACCACATGCAAGTCTGACGGTCAGGGCGAATCTGAGAGATGATCTTGCGGATCTGGGGCTCGAAACCCATGTCCAGCATGCGGTCGGCCTCGTCAAGAACAAGATAAGTGACACGGCGGAGGTTGGTGCGGCCGGCCTCGAGCATGTCAATGAGACGACCAGGAGTAGCAATGCAGACTTCGACACCACGGCTCAAGTCACGAATCTGGGGGCCCTTGGGGACACCACCATAAACACAGGTGTTGCGAATGCGAGAGGACTTTCCGAACTTGGTGATTTCGGTCTGGATCTGGACTGCCAATTCACGGGTAGGGGCGAGGACGAGAACAATAGGGCCGTCACCAGGAGCAAGAAGGGGCTGAGCGTTGATGTGGACAATAGCAGGAAGACAGTAGGACAGAGTCTTTCCGGAACCGGTCTCGGCGATACCAACAACATCACGACCAGAGAGAGCCATGGGCCATCCCTGAGACTGAATTGCGGTAGGGCGTTCGAAACCCTGAGCCTTAACCTCGCTTAACACGTATTGGGGGAAACCAGCCTCGTCAAAGGTCTCGACGGGACGAGGAATGTTTTTTCCTTGCACAGACATCTCAAACTTCTTACGGAAATCGTCAACATCGCGCTGAGACCGGCTGGCGACATCAGGGTGCTCCTTGTAGAAAGACTTCTCAAACTTGGGTAAAGAATCCAAGTCTAGGATAGATGTTAGCATCATAATTCTGATGATAGCGCGTTGCATAGAAATCACACATACCCCATTCTTGCTTCTTCAAGCCAGCGCCGAGGTTGGACATCCGGTCACCACCACCGCCGCCACCTCCTCTTCCGCCATAGCCACCGCCGTAGCTACCGCCACCGTAACCACCTCCATAGCCACCGCTACCACCACCACCAGAGTAACCGTTGGAGTTGGAGTTGGAGTAGCCGCCGCCATTCGAGTATCCGCCGCCGCCACCACCACCATTTCTGGAGCTGAATGACAAAAGCCCACGTTAGCACACACACAATTCACTGTATCGAAGAAGTAGTCCAAGGAAAGGAGGATGTGTTGGGTTGCCATAGATCAGGCCTTGCGACTTGGCTGCAAAGACAGTTGCGGTGACTATAGCACTCGCGCAGGACTGACCGACGAAAGGTTCCAACATCGTCTCACAGGGGATAACTTTTTTAGATAGAATCACTTACCGATAGGAGTCGCGCTGGTCGCGCTGATAGCCACCGTTGTAAGACATTATGCGGTCTTTTTTATTGGCGGGTGTGAGATGAGAAAACTGAACAAAACAACAGACTCAAAAGAATGGGGTTAAATGAAGGAAGGGGATGTTGTATAGTCTCTCCCAGAATAAAGACCGAGGGTAAAGGACGAAAGAATGTCCAAGAGAAGGAAAACAAGGATGAGGAGGAAGGGGAGATAGATAAGGGAGATGGGGGAGGAAGAAAAAAAATAGTCGCGATGGGGCGGGAAGGAGAAGAAAAAGTCGAAGGCGAAAAAGAGGCGAAGGCGACGCTTTCCCGATTGGATTAGTGCAGGAGACTCGACCCAAGGAATGAGAATGGCAAAGATGGGCAAAAATGCCAGATTTTGGCCGACACCGTCCATTCACCGCTTGTCGTTCCCCTCACCGCCTCCCGTGACTGGCGGGTATGCATTGTATGCCTTGTTTGCATTGTTTGGATCTCGTGTCTTTTTCGCCATCCCGAACTAAACCTAGTTGAGCCAAACCTGAACTTAGTTCATTGTGTTGAATGGAATTGAATGGGTATTATGGATCTGTCTACCCTGCCTCGTAACTATGCATCTATTTCTTCGACCTTCTTCTCTTTCTTATCGAGCACCCAATCCCATGTCCCAGAATCTGATCTCTAACTCCGTTGCCCGAATGAAGATCTTAATCAGCTCTTCCATTCGGCTCGGAGAAACTTCGCGCATGTGTCTCTCAAGAAGTTCTACGGCAAAGTCAAGTCAGCAACTCATCGTCATGGTGAGAACGGTGTGATTTCAGGGCTCTCTGGGCCGCTTACCAGATCCCAATCGGACTGCCTCCGAGTAGTCCTCCGCAACGTAGTTTTCAATCCACTTCCAGTATCGGTTGCCCTGCCGAAGAGTGTCCTTGTCCGTGTACAGTCTCTGGGCAATGGCTCCGTATCCAATCAAACAAGGCGCAAGAGCCATTTGCAACGCGAGCCAGTCCTCGGATTGACCGACATCAAGAATGTATCTACTGTATGCAGTACAGGCTGTTGTCCCAACGGCGACTTGTTAGCAGCAGTACACAGGTGATGGCACTAATTTGTTAACATACCGATAGTTTCGGGTGTTCTTTCCATCTCTTGTTTTGATAGTCCGAAGGAGGCGCAGTAGTCTAAGTGCAACGCTGTTTCGCGTTGGATGTGTAGGACGATCTGTGCCGACTATCATGGTTCAAACCAAGTCAACCCTCACGAACAGCTGGATGCCTTGTGCAAGAGAAGCAACAGTAACTGATTCACTTACTGCAGCAATGGATTCCATATTCTTAGCCTTGTAGGCTGCTAGCGCATTACTTCGAGCGAATTGGACCTATATATCACCTCGTTAGACAAAGTCCTTAGGATGAATGAAGAGTACATTGGTCCTACCAGATAGAGATAATCCTGCACTAGGTACTCCTTGAATTTCTCCACGGGAAGCGTACCACTGCCCATGCCCAAAACAAAGTCATGTTCGGTAAACTTCTTCCATACCGGGCGAATATCAGGGCGGTCCAGGACATATTCTAAGAAACGACCACTTTATGTGTCAATTAGCACCCTCACTTTTCATGCTGCCCAGAAATAAGATAGCAACGTACGGCGCAAAAGGCAGCGTATACACCGAATGGAAGTGGTTAATTGGGCCACTTCCCTTTCCAATGTCAAAGCTGGTTTTGATTCCCGCCTCGACGAACCGAACAGCACTATGCACTGCTCGCTTCAGATCTTTGCCTAAGGCAAGGTTGGCTGCAATCGAAGACGCAAGAGAACATCCGGTGCCGTGGGTGTTCTTAGATAATAAGAAGTCTGTCTCAAAGAGTGTTACATCTTCTCCATCGTAAAGCACATCTATAACGGTGGTAGCCTCTTCTTGGTTGCGCGCAGTTTTATGATCTTTGGTGAGAGGTAAATGTCCGCCCTTGAGGAGAACAGCTTTGGGGCCTAGAGCTTTGACTTGCTTGACTAACTGAAGGACGTCTGAGAGACCCTCTGGCTCAGATACGTCTAGACCGGCGTCCTTCAGTAGCAGCTTCGCTTCGGGGATATTGGGAGTAAGAACGGTCGTCAGTGGCAGAAGCTTCGTCCGCAATTTTTCTACGGCCTCTTCAGGTAGTAGTTTAGAGCCACTCGTAGAGATCATCACCTGCTGTAATGTTAGATGCTAAGTGTATCTCGGGCAGTTTTGAACAAGGGCTACCGGATCCAACACCACCGACGGAACTTGGTGGGCCACCAGCGTTTCAGCAATAATATCAATTGTCTCTGCGGACGAAAGCATCCCTTGAATTGGTCAGACTAGACCCTACAATGAGATAAAAATAATAAGATAGTGTTTACCAAGCTTCACGGCATCCGCTCCAATATCTTCAAGACCGGCATTGATTTGCTTCTTAACAAATTCAGCCGGAACAACGAAGATATCCTGTACACCCAGAGTATTCTGGGCTGTCAGTCCAGTGGTCGCAGTTAGCGCATAACATCCATGCGCAGCTAGAACCCGCTGGTCTGCTTCCAGGCCACTGAATATGCATTAGTATGCTGCGCCTCGAGGAGTGGAAACAGATCGCTGCAATGCATGAGATCGGATTGAGTGAAACATACGCGCCACCTGAGCTGTCAGAACCTGCAATAACCAAAACACGCTTCACCGACATGATGGCAGATTAGCGATTTGCACAGTGATTTCACAAAGTATCCACCGATAGAGATGGACAGAGGTGATATGTGCCTGGACCAGTCGTCCTTTTTTAGTAACTGGTTTAACAGCCGGCGGAAGTGCGGCAAAGAAGTTATTTGGCGGGGTGTGGGGCATTCGATATAATTTATTCCTGACCAACAGAACTCCCCATTAGATACGATACGAAAGAACGATTCTGCAAGATATTCTTCATATTGGAATCAAACTACGTGCCTTTGCGCTCGTGAGGAACGGCAGACGTTTCAGAACTTATCATTGATATTTATAAACCTCATCCCATCATCCCAAACATAAAACCAATTGCGCTATCCGCAGTGATAGAAAGAAAGAACAGACCCGAACCATCCAAACATGCAGACTATATACAGATGCCAGTCAATTAATATTCCATGCGTCAAGTCTACGGTAGCATAAAGCGGAACAGAGTATCCATCTCAACCCATTGCCGCCCGCACTTCTTCAAATACGCGTCCACCACGCCTTTGACCGTCTCAAACCGTGCGCGGTTAAACGAAGCAAGAGCAACGACACTATCTTTCTTCTCCCCACTGGCTTCCTTCTCTGCGGCGACCCGCGCCTTATCCACGTCCCAGAGACCAGCAAAGTACAGCAACTGGTTATAAAGTTGCTTCTCCGAGTATTCGTAAGACATCCGGCCAAGACAGCCTTCAGCGTGACCCCGGGGACCCAGGCACCTATGGCCATAAACACTCATCTGCCGCGTTCGGTTACCGCATGCGGAGTCATCACACACAAGCCATCCCTCGTAGTACTTGGAGGTTTGGGCCCGAATCTGGCTTTCTAGCTGTGCGATGATCGTCAAAACAGTGAACTGTTTCTGGCAAGCGTCATTCGGACAGAAAAGACCATTGGCGTTGCACATATGGGATGATGCTGCAAGCCCTTCGAAGACTGATTTCTCTTTACAGAACCGACATGTCAGTGTTAGTCTGGCAGCATTCTCAAAGCGAACAGAATCCGGAATTTGCGACTCCAGTGGGAAGATGTCCGTGTTCTGCTGGTTGCCACCGCTAGAAGTATTGATTTGATACTTGCGGACATCCAAGCCCAGGCACTCGGCCAGTCGAACCGCATCAGTTCCAGGAATCGGAGCACAGAGACGCTCAATGGGAGGGAAAATCTGCTTCAAGAGGTAGAATTCAATATCGGGGTTGAGTCCTGAATCAGGTTTCATCACATCCTGAAGCGTGTACGAGCGCTTTGCTGGGGCAAGGGAGGATGTTTCGGAATCTCCATTTGTCACAATGTACGAGATGACATCGTTCGGCCGGACTGACTTGCCGCGGGAAAGCTCTCGGAGGGCCACTTGAACGGGCGGCATCGTCTCCTTGTTAGGATATTCTTCCGGCCGTTTAGAGAGTTTCTGCGGAAACATTAGCGCCTCTCTCACTTTAACTTATGGGGACATGAACGTACAGTGTAAATCACATATTTCTGGACGGGGATAGCGAATTCTCGCATCTTGCCTGCTAAGTCTCGTAGATAGTCATGGACCCGATTGAGGACGATCTCTTGGTCTTCGCCGGAGAGAACCTCATTCAGGAGTCTCTGAGACACTTCCTTTGACAGGGCGCAGTATTCACGCCTCTTCATATCCAAACCCTTGACTTCCAACTTGTCCACATATTTGCCATCCACCTCCGTCATGTTCACTGCGGCATATTTCTTTTTGGCGTGCAATAACAGTCGACGGAAGATATTGTCAATATCGATTTCCAAAAGCCGGTATCTTTCATTCACAGACTTCTTGAATTCCTCTCCGACCTTCAGGGCGTCGCTTAGTGTATCCATGTTTGTGTTGATCATGACGGAGTCGGTATCACCGTAAATGACTCTCAACTGCTTCGATTCTGCCAGTTCCTTTGTGCTTCTTAAAATCTCACGACCCTTGAACGTGGTGAGCATGGCCAGGGGACGAGCGTAGAAGCGACTCTGAGTGTAACCCAAGCATCCATACATAGAGTTAGCAGTCAGCTTGAAAGCCAATTGTTTCGTGTCCCACAGCGCAAGCTGTTCAGGTGTTGCGCGTTTGTCTTTCATTAACTTTTTCACCTCTCGTCGACGGCCGACAAGTGTAGCAATAAGCCGTGGGAGGATTCCCTGTTCTTGATCCGAGGAAGGAACTTCCGGGACTTTCTCTTCATTCTCGTTTTCGGCCTGTAGATCATGTCAGTTTGTACTAGCACAAAGCTTTTTAGCAAAGACCCTTACAGTTGCAGTCCGTTCCACCGTCGTGAAGCAGATGTTGTATTCTTGGATAATGCTCGGGTACAGACTGTTAAAGTCCATCACAAGAACGAATCGATCGTAGAGGCCTTTCTCGGGTTCGAAAACAAGTCCACCCTTGTACTTGTCTTTCTTTTTCTTGTCCGTGGCATCATCGTCATCGCCATCCTGTAGTTTCTCTTCCGCTTTCTGTAGCTTGGCAGAGTACTTATCAGGGCAGATATACTTATTCCGGTGGAATTCATGGAGCAGAATGTACTCGTTACGCTCGGCTCGTGTACCACTAAGGGTACGTGCCCAAGAATTACCGGCAATATTGGTAAGCACCTTAGTCAGAGGCAGCATTTGAAGTCGCAGTACCAATGCGGCAACGAAGTAGGTATCGGTGTCGCAATGGTTCACGAAGTTCATTAGGCCATCTTTGGTGGTAGCCCAAGTTTTCAATGCTGCTTCGCTATCCAGTTCCTGCCGTACATTGCCTGGTCCAAGATAAAGGTTGGACATCTCCGTCAAACTCCACGATTGACATTTCATCATGAGGGACTATATCCTGTCAGTACAAGCACCAATACTACCCGAATGTTGAGGAACTCACCTTGCCCATGTCGTTGGCCACATCACACATCAATCTTCCCGCAATGAGATGTCTCTCGGCGAAGAAACCTCCGCCTCTGTTGAAATTCTTGGGCCAATCTCCACGCTTCAACCGGCCCAATCGATGCCATCCAGGAGTCTTCTTTTCCTTCAATCGGTTGAGCAGGATGCTAAGGTCAACTTCTTGAAGTTGATGTCCCATCAAAACATCAGGATCCATCTTCTCGAACAAGGCCAAGAATTTACTCAGTAAGAATTGCTCGCTCCTTTCTAAGATATATGTGCCTCGTTGCTTCTTGGTTTCAGTTTCGAAATGCATGGGGTATGATGAACCCACAGGTCGCATCACCGTGAAAGTCTTGCAAGGAAGCTTCTCAGGAGGAGTTGTGTCCGTAAGAGAAACATTCTCGTACACTCGAGCGCTTGCGATTAGTATCTCCTGTTTGTTTTCTTTCACGTTCAATTGCGTCCTGAAGGCAAGACTCATCAAAGTGAGAGGAGGTGCCTCTAAGTTCTCAGAGTCTGGAACTGGCGAAATAAGTGCTGGTTTAGAGACTTGGCATTCGAACTTGCACCATGACGCGTTGTTAACAGCAGAGAAGTCTGCTCCTTCAAACCTGAGCCAACAGGGTCCCATGATGTTCTTCCAAAGAACAAACTGCTCAAACAAGGAGGTGTTGGTGCCGAAGACATGAGAGAATGTCTCTCCCTTGAGATCCATAGGCAAAGCAGGCTTATCATACGGGTATAGCAACTTCAAATATTCGGCTTCCTTCGGAATGCCGGGCATCTCAAAGGCATACTTTCTTGTGCACGGCTTGATCTTATGCATCCCAACCTTGAGTCTCGACATCATGCCGTCAACTTCATTGTAGACGTCTTCCATATCCACTTCTTCGTCCGTATCCCGGCCATGCTTATGCCTATACTCCCGTGGGAGGAAATAGAGCTTTCGTAAAATATTGTCGACCTTAACGAATGCACTCGCGTAGTTTCCAGTCTGCTTATTTTTAACCTTTCCGAATAAGCAGAGACTGCCATTAGCTTCGGTGAAATCTATCCAGAACATGCGCAGGCTTCCGTCTTCCTCCACAACATCTTGCGCACGTAGTTTTCCGAACGTCCGCGTTTCCGATGCTGGGCTACTGAGGACATTCAACTTGTTCCTCACATCATTCCATGATGCATTCGCAACGTCTGGCATCGACTTCACCGGGGAAGAATTTGCAGGGGTGGAATAGGCTTCGTTTTTGATCTTGGGTGGTGGCCGGCGCCCGGCCATGTTGACGCTCGTCGTCTTGGCCTCGTGTTGCCCATTGGCTTCTGCGATTTCCATCAAATCATTGTCTTCTTCGTCAGAATCCTCCGCTTTTACCGCAACGGCCGATTTCCTTTCAACAGCCTTACTGACGGGAGACGACGGCATGGGGTCGCTCATTAAAATGTCATCGTCTGCCACCGGAAGAGGCCCGTCATCGTTATCCAGGTCCAGGTCCGGCTTCTGGCCAATTGGTGACACCGGGTCGCTGTTCTCGTCTTTCGTCTCTTTCTTCTGCGGACGTGGTCGGTGGGACAAAGGAGGTGAAAGGATCCGAACTTTACGTCGAGTTTCAGACTTGATCACATTTTGTGTTGGGACATGATTCGAGACAACGTTGGTATCAACTTCGCCGAGGAGATCAGCCATGAATGCTTCATCTTCGGCAGAGGCGACCGGCTAGGCGAAACATATTAGACATGATATAGATTTCAGAGTATTGCAATGTCGCACTCACCTTCGGCTTCGGGGCAGATGCGCCGCTCCCCTTGTTGAAATACTTGGATATGCCGTTATTAATTTTCTCTTTTCTCTGCTTCTCCTCCTCACGTTTCCTTTTAGCAGCCTTGCTATTGGCAGGTAATTCGCCATCGTCACTCTCGCTGTCATAGTAGTCCGCCGTCCGTTCGTTCCAGACCTCTCGACCGTCATCGGCATATCCTTCGCCATTATCGTCAACAACGAAATCGTCCTCGTCGAGCCGGTTGCGGATAATCTTCTTATAGCCTTCGTCGTCGACCTCCTCATAGATATCATCCTGCTCTTCAACCTCATATGTCGATATACGTTTCTTTCCAGAAGCGCGCAGAGCACGCAACTCCGCCAACTTAGCTCGGGCAGATGCCATGGCGCCACAAATAGAAGGTCCCTAAGGATTGGCGTCCATTAACCACCTTTTCTCGTGGATTCAATTGATTTCCGCAGAGATTACCGCGGTGTGGATTAGAGAAAGGGTTTAGTGGTTCAAAGGCGGGCGTCGCGGAGACAACGCGTAAACGGAACGCGAGATACACGCGCTCACCGCCCAATCGCCGTTAAGTGGTTTTTCCATTACCGCTAGCGGTTAGTTCCATATCATTGCCCTATACCAGCTAGTAGCCTAGAAGTTAGCAATCTGAGCAGGACAAATGTCTAGTAGTCATGATCCTAAACCAAAGAACTCTTCAAGACTCCATTTAGTTGATGGAGTATTTTGAGTTTCGCTTTAACGGGGCATATCTCCTCTGTTGAACTATAACGAAGACACTTATCCTGTTACATACAATCCATCTTAACTCCTAATCAGAACCCCCGTCTCTAGCAAAGCCTCCACAAAAGCTCTAATCGCCCGGACCCCAATTCTGGCAATCTTATCCCCATCCCCAGCATCCGGATCAAATGAACACACCGTCAAAGATCTAGGCTCAGATGATCTCGGCACCAGATCCATACAAGCCACCAAATCCTCCTCCATCAAACCTCCCGGCGACGGATAGTCATTGACTTTCCCGTAAGACTCATCCAGAACGTCTAGATCCAGATGCACGAGAGCAGACCCATACGACCTCTCCTCCAGCTGCGACTTCAACTCACCCGCAAAGTCAACCTTCCTCGACGTCTCACCCCAGACAGCCTTCATACCGGCATCAATGACCCGCTGCCGCTGCACATCAGACTGGTCCCGCAGTCCACAGTACAGAAACCGGCCCTCGTAGCTAAACGGTTCGTAATTCGGCACGGTCCCCATTAACGTCTTCCAAGATTCACCACGTAGCATCGACAGGCCCATCGCATCAAAGTACCCATTTTCATTGACATCTGGCGAGTCCAGGTCATCATGGGCATCGAAGTAAATGAAAGATAGATCCTGAATTTTCAAGCCACAGGCCACGGCCGCGCTGGACATGCAATTTCCCGCCAGAATCAACGGAAAGGCGTTGCTGTCCACGGCTTCTGTGACAGCGACCGAAATCCGGCGGAGGATTTCGAAGCTTCGGCCGATCTCGCCTTCGAAGTTGTCTACGCTGGGGATTTCATGGATGCGGATTTGGAGGCCCTGTTCTTCAAGGGTAGGTATTAGGCCGAGTGATCGGATGCGGTGGGGGCCGTTGCCTACGCGGTGATCGCGGAGGCCGACATGGTAGGAGAGATAATTAGGGTGATGGTGTTGGTTGGCATTTTTTCTCTCAGAGCTGTGTTTGGTGACTTATTCCTCCCCAATTTATCGTCAGATCTGTAGCTTTATAGTTCTATAGTTGTGTCGGGCGTCTACAATGACGTCTATATGTTCTCCGAGAACATTTCTAAGCTTACTTCAATCTGCGGAGATATTCCCCAGAATCGTTTCCCCAAAAAGCATTTCCCCGAGGATATTCCCCCAAAGATGCTTCAGATCCCCTAGGGACAACCAAGACCAGCTCTGGAAATCTCAAAGTTGTTTTCAGCTATACACCGAACTCACTGGAATAATTCAAAAAACCTACCAAGATCCTAAATCATGAACGCTGGTTCTGATAATGTAGGGTCCATCGGCCTAGTGGCCATGGGAAAGGAGCAGTCAGCCAACAAGTTCCCCGGAAATGCTCAGCTAGATGTGTATGACATTGTGGGAGATTTGTCCCTGGTATAGTGGCAAGGTTCCTGGAAAGGAGGTAGTTGCTTACTTGCCAACGAATATTGCGAAAGTAACAGTAAGCTGTTTACTATATATAGAATCAATATCACTGGACATCGGATGGCTTATGTACCAATAGAGCATTATATATATAATGATCCCGGAAGATATGCATGTCCAGACTGTCTATCCAGGCGAAACAGCCGGCGTGTGCTCTTCAAGTTCTCTTGAAGACCATGTTCTCTCAAATGTGTTTGTAGCTGGTACCGCGCACTCGGCGCTCGGACATGTCGATTTGAAGACGTATGAAGACGCCCCAGAGTACCCCAACTGCATGGATCGAGATTTACGGATAGCTTTTGCTTTCTGGGTGGGGTTGAATCTCGGGTTGAAAGACTTGAGAGGGCTGGTGATGAAAGCGGTCAATTTAAGAATGGAAAACACCTAACATGCATAATAAAACACTAGGGCTTCATACCCTTGTTTCATACAAAGACGAACATCTGTGTGATTATTTTCTTTCTTTACAGCAACTAACATAGCCAGGTGGCTGTAGGGCAGGTGCCACAAAAAGACACAAACTTCTTTCATCTCATCATGCTGAATGCATCGACAGATGTCTTTCAGTGGATTGCGCTATACTTGTTTACTCGACGTGGGCCAGCATTCTATAACGACAGATTATAAACCATGGGGGCCCATCCCAGCTTTCGAGCCCGATCCATAGCTTGAGCGACATACCTGTCTACGGAGAAAATGCCTTTACTGGAGTCATGCTCAAAACCCTCATCCGAGGAGGAGGCTTGGCAAAACAGGCTCCTCACCAGCATTGATATATGCAATGATCATCTTACTGTCTTACTTAAATTGTTAGCAGTGTCGCGAGACGAAAGGGGATACGCAAACGTGATGGTCACGATTCAGTGCTTTGTACCCCAAGCATTTGAAGACCGCCACGTCGGTGATGAGCTTGCTCTGGAGATCTTCAAACTGGCAATAGAAAACAGAGTAAAGGAAAAGCTACGAAGCATTGAATCGTAAGTCTTATACCCCAATCTCAAGATACACCAGAACTGATGGTCTTTTCCCACAGCATCCATGGTTACGGCTGGAATGCTGATTCTTCGCGTTTAGTTGCCTACTGGTATGGGCAGGAGAAACCTGAACTACCTCCAGCATTACGATACTCTCCTTTTGTTGAACTTCGAAAACTGCACTATGACCCTCTTCACTGGTAAGTTCTACTCTATCAAACATCCTAGAAAGCCGGTCACAACCAAGATAAAATAAACGCGGTGAATGGAGGGATATATATGCTAATGACAGCTATGCTCCGGAGTAGAATTACAGCTCGGTTAAAGGCAATGCCTATATTTTAGGCAAAGGAAGCGTTCTCTTATTCGACACCAGTGTCAAGGACTCTTGTTAACAATAAACATATAATGCCATATTAGCTTCAGATGTTATTGTATAAGGAGCCCTCTTATAGTATTGATTTGCTAATTTTCATTCATAAAGCGACATACCCATCGCCAGGATACATAAACAGACTTCTTCTTACCATACGCTTGCATCTCTCCTGCTTTCCTACATTTTTCTTGCTGCTTTCACTTGGTTTTTCTTACTTTGGTCTCAATCTCATCTCATCATTTTTATATCCGCTTTATTCCAATCGGCGTTCTAGAGCTTTGGCGAGTAGCTTGTGCACATGGCTAGTCAAATGCCCAGAATTAAACCAAAAATATCTGTCCAGAGGCGTTGGGCAGCCATAAGCTTGATAGTTCCATTCTATATCCGGTTGATCATAGCCGGGGCAGAAGCTAGTCGTGTTTGTAATCCCATACTGCGCTGGCTGGTCCATCATATCGTTTAGAACCGAATGTGCATCGAAAAGCACTACATTAGTCTCAGGGTACTGTTTATCGAAGTTAAATGCATGTTGTGCCAATGCCTCATTGAACCATGCCACCTGGGTCGCATTGGGACTTGGGCTGGCCGTCTTCTGGTTGCTTGGTGTCCTGTCTAACGGTGGGAGATTCATAAAAAGGTAAGAGCGATATCCTAAGGAATGAAGGACCCGGACAGAGGCGAAAAGGGTATCCATAAGCTCATCGTAGAATGTGGGAAAATGGACAGCATATTTGGCGCTGTCATTGATATCGTTGATGCCGATCCAAATGGCAACCAGCGCCCTCGAAGGTTCCACTATATTTTTGAGAACTGGGTGACCGTATGCTCTATATTGCGCGACTTGGTTGACAAGTGAGACGGTGAAATTATGGTGCAGGGGGGTGCTGGGCAAAATGAACGTTAGCCATGTCGCGAGCAATGGAAGCAATAGCAAAACATTCGCATACTATTCCACGGAGATGTCTGCTCCTGCGAAAGCAAAATCCCACAGTTGTCTTGTACAGCTTAATGGGGAAGTTAACCCTTCTTCTAAGCCACAACCTGTTAGGAACTCAACCCAGTTAGGGCCACCTTCTGCTGTCGCGGTCTGCCGGTGATGGGTATCAGCATTCAGCGGCATTGGATGCGCAAGAAATATTGACTACGAACCTGATTTTGCACAATCTTGTTGGTCAGCAGAGTTTGAGCATTGTATTCGAGATTCAGTTGATCCCCGATGAAACTATAGTTCTGATGCCCTTCTGTTCCCTGGACGTATGTATATGAGTCACCGAAGGCGAGCCTGGAGGTCTGTAGTCAGTTGAGAGCCTTCCTTTGATGTGTATAGGATAAGCTCAAGACACGGACAAGTACTGAATAGAATCCCAGTCAAATCCTTGCGATGGCAATGCCGAAGGAAGGGCTACGGATAGGGAAGCACTGGCAGTAAGCACGAGATGGGATATGAAGCGCATCATCGGACGCTGGCTCTAATGATGCTGGTGCGAAGAATGATATAATAAGCGTTATTCGGGCTATAAATGCGTCGAGAATCAGGACATATTGATCTCGGTGACATTGCTGGGGGCTCTCGAAGCCGTATTCTTTTTTATATATTTCCCCGCATGTACTTGTATACCGGAGAATTCCAGCACGATTTCGCATTTGACGGAAGTTAATTTTCCGTCTCTAAAAAGCTTTTTGATCAACAGACGTCTGATCTAAGTGATCCATTGTAGGATACCCAGGAAGCTGGAAATGTGACTTTGTGATCAGTCACGGATCAGTTGAGCCATACGATTGTTCGAGGCATCGACTGCCCATTCTATCGGATCTTAAGGGTAAAGAAGCTGGAGTGTGCACGACGCTATTTTTTCCGAGGATTAGCCAAACGATCGAGCTAAAGCTCCACGACGCTTCGGAACAGCCACCCGTGGTTCCGTATAATGCCATCCACAATTCCGTATAAAGGACCAGGAGCACTTGCCGATCTCTTAGCGATACCACATAGAGCAAAAGAGCTCTGATCATCCTTCTGGGGATTGGAGGCTCAACTGTGGGGAGTTAGTACGGAGTCGTTTACTGAACTCCGTAGTGTAGCCGAGATGATCATATGCTTTCGTAGCGGCTGTTTTTGTGGAGAAGTTATTATCACGCTTTCACGCGACGTGCTCCGAGTCGAAAGGTAAACATCGGAGAAGGACGCCGGAAAAGGGGTCAAGAAGCGTTGATATGAGGTCCATCAGGAAGGTATTCTACATTTGGCAGGAGTCATTTGCCGACTCAGTGTGAATTATTGGAACTCTCCCCGTTCTTTCTCATCGGACCATGGAAAACCCTCATGTCAGTACCTGAGTCAGTCTCATACATGTCCATTCATGATTATGAAATGGCGCGATATCTGTTCTTTACCCACTCGGGAAGGTCAATCCTGACAGGATAGGCTAGTCGCAAAGCCTATCTCTCTCGCCGTACTCCGTAAGCTGTCGAGCGGAACGAGACAGGCCGTTGGTACTATCTGGTGGGTCAATCAAGCTGTTGTGTTTACATTGAGCTATGCCATAGATTCATGCACGTTAGATGAATCTCCTCGGAATTATGGGATATCAAAACACTAGTAGCGGAAAGGTGTCCAATGATAGTTGCCGTTGCGAAACATCTCGATTGGAACACCCCTATTAATATCCTCCTTATCATCGTCTGAACAGCCTTGTTGTATGTCTATCACTGGTCTTGGACAGGTTGGTAATTCCTAGATGGATGTTCTGTCAGTCGTCGGTAATTACAGTAGCGCAATTACCGTAGCGCAATATCAAGTTACAAGCGCCGAGGCATATGCAGATTTAGGGATACGGTTCCATTCCAAATATGGCTAGTGCTATCCCAAAGTCAATTGGTAGTGGCCCGAATAGTTAAGGGGGCCGGTTCACTCTTGCCTCCTTCGGTTAGTAGCCAACCTAGAAAAATTAGTTCAATGCGCGGAAGTCGGGAATTCCGCTGGTTAGAATCGCAAAGTGACGGTAATTGGCGGTTCCTGTGGGACTAACGTAATAAGAAATGACACCGACCAACACCGCGCCTCGCGTACCTAGACACCTCAGGTGTCTGGGCAGCTTGAGTTAACGCTTAGAGCTGCCGTAGAACATGCATGGAACATGTAACATCTCGACAGTCGACGTCAGAATGCTGTGAGCCCTAAGATGATGATATGCTGCTGCAGTGCAGTTCCTGCGGTTCACGCAAACGTTGGATGATTATTGTCCAAGTCGAGTGCTAGGTCCGGGTCTCTTGAAAGCTCCACCGCATTTGTCTTCTTTTGGTTCTCCGTGGGGGGGTCGGTGCTTGGTCCGAGAATTAACCATCAAGATATTTCTTGGCGGGTCCATTTCTTCGAGGTCTGGCACCTCCCGAATGATTTTCCTTTCAGAGGTATTACAGAGTAGTGCTGACAAATTCTTAGCATATCAGAATTAGTTACATATATCTTTTAGGTATGCGGCTGCGAGCCATATAACCAAGGACTGGTCTGTCTGTGCGTGATGAATATTACGATTAGTGATTGAAATGCGATGCAATGATGCCATCTGCACATATAGGTACTCTGTACAGTACTTAGTCGTGTTCGAGGGAGAAGCCTCTCAGCGCGTTTATCTTGACTGTTTTATGGAGCAATCCTTGGGCGGGTGAGACAAACTTTCCGGTATCCCACTTGTGGGCCAATTATTCGGCGATGTCCTAACTCCTATGGACGAATCTTGATCCCCAGTGACCCTCTCGGTAAGAAGATGCAACACGGAGGACTCCGCTTTGACTAAATTGATTCCGAGAGACCTGTTCCAGGGTGAAATAGTTGCCATTGCTGTTTTTATTTTGATGATATTTTATTTTATTTTCCCTTACCTTCAAGCTCTTGTTGCAATGGACGTATTTCGATTATCGCCCGTAACTGCTGGTGGATGTGGATTGAGTGCAACCGTCGGAAAAGTATTTGCCGAGGACTACTGCAGTGCGAGTTTGGCAGAGCAGTATAGATGGTCTGTACGGAGTGCTCTGTACCTACATCAGTACTTTTTACCACGTACCATAGAATGCAGTCTAGTAGGCTAGGTGTCAATCTCGTCCCAGATTTAATCAATTTTGTCGGCACCCTCACTGGTTCATATTCATCGTCGAATTTTTGACTTTGACTCCCGCTCCTAACTCAAAGGCCTTTCTTAAAATAATTACAATAATAACCATAACCATGGTCCCATACCAAACCATATACTCCACAGAACTAAAGTCGGAGGTGTGAACCGCAAAGGCGGTGTTGTCTGGCCTTTGGGGTACCCTAAACAATATCTGAAGGCTGGCACGCGGTCCCCCGTACAAAACACCATTCCTCGGTAAAATGTTGGAACAATTTCGCAGTTAATATACAGTTCCATTCAACCTGTTTTTTTTATTTGTATTTTTGACTTTTTTTTTTCATACACTGTGCGAGAATGGAGATTATGTTGACTCTCGCGTCCAATGGAATATTTATTTACTCCCCCGCCTTTATTGGATCATGTCAGCTGCCAGTTATTAAATTTGATTTTGTAGTGTTGCAGTCGGAAAAAGGGGGCAAAAAGGATTGAATGAATAATAAAAAAAAAGCGCAAAATAATGAGTCCGCCGTACATGGTATTATTCAGTGTATATTTTATCTCCTTAACCAATTACGTGATAAAAATGAATGTCATGCTTTACTGACTGCCGACTCCGTAAGTAAGTAGCAGTACAGAGTGGATGGCACCTATTCTGGAGTCAGGAATCCCTATGGCTGCCATTTGTATGGATATCCGTTTAAAAATACTCGACATTGGAAAATGGTCTACACCGAGCGAGGTAGACGCTACAGACCAAATACAGCTGCTATCTACAGCTCCCTTCCACGTGGGGAAAGCACCAAAGTAGCCTGGACACGGACGCGATAACACCATAGCCTATCTGTTGTACTAATACAGTACTTAAGGCACTGACAATCTGTCCTAAGCATTGCAATATGCGCAGTTAGGACTAGTTGCAGTAGCCATATTGCGGACAATAAAAAAGTTTAGAAGGGAAAATAAGAAAATTCGATGGCAGGGCATCCACTGCAACTGTCAACCATCAACAAACAACGGACATACTACATCATACCCGGAACTGCAACTTAGCCCCTTTCATGTGCATATCATGTCCCATGCTAGGGCCAAAAAAGAAAGAAAAAAAATAATATTCTGAGGGGTGGACGAGCTTTGCTGTGTTGTCAATGTGGGCCTGTAAATAATACAGGTGTATTACAAGCGCAACCACCCCAACGCCATTATCTCATTCTACATGGTAGGTCAGATAGCCGACGTCCTGCTGCTGATTTCGTGATCTTAGGGCTTTCTTTGTCAGCTGTCATTGCTTTGCTTTTCACTATTCCAGAGTGATATCAGAAATGCCATTGTTCATTGGTTTCCCGAAGACATAGCAGATGCATGTGGATTACCTTGCACTAAAATGAAGCCAGTGTACGGAGTAAAAGGGGTGTTTTAAACCAGATCGACAGGCGTCCATCAACCTATGGTTATCGGCCAGCATCCGAAACACCTTACGGCTTATTGAGGGACAGTCGGATAGTACTGGTAGTATAATAAGTATTACCCCATCCGTCTGGGGAACCAAAGGAGCTCTAATCTGTAATTTGATTAGGATAGTAAAATTAAGAACCGAGTGCCTTGTGGGCAACTGGAGTCTTTAGCCGGCCCCCAGGTGTAGTAAATTATAATCTCCGATAACGCTTCGGAAAACAGAACTCACTCGACTCCGTCTGTGGAAAAAAAGCCTTGTCAGGTATTTTGAGATTATCCCGCGCGTGTATGGAATCTATGGATTTGCCAACGGGAAATACTGACCTGTACTCCGTATTCCATATTGATATCAGTTATTAATCCACCACATTTATTGACTTCCATGACCCACCGTGGTGCTCATATCGCATGATTGGAACTATTTGTTCAGTATAATGCCTCTACCGTGGGACGATTGAGTAATTATCACGTCGAAATGATAAAATTAATTGTGATCTTGTTTTATTTTGTAAATCTGCAATTTTTTCTTCCTTTTTATAAAATCAAATCAAAAAAAATAAGAATAGGGATGATTTAATATCAAGATATTCGCAGCCATGGCCTCAACAGGAGTTATCAAGCTTTAACACCAACCAGGAGACAGCCAGGAGACAGCCAGGAGACTGTTGACCTCTCATCCTTCACCGGCAGTGGATGTTGTCTGGGTTCCGCTTGCGCGGGGTACGGCCCAGTTAAAACGCCAATCAACATGCATCCATCTGGCTTTGCCCAGAGGAGAACCTTTCCAAGACTGGAGCCTTGCATTTTCTCGCGTTCCTACTAGTATTTTCTCCTACCTTGCGCATGGCTTCCCTATCAAGGACAACTTCCCGAAACCTTTTTTTTTTTTTCTT